GAATAATGTACATCTTTTATTGTTTTAATTACATTTATTAGACCTACTTCATCCTAAATGTATTGTATTTGCTTGACTTGCGAATTCTTGTTACAATTTAGTTTAATTTATAGATCAAGTGAAATCAAAGAATATGTCGTCATTGTATGACTACATGATAAACTCCTGTTAAGGGGTCAATTTCACATTTTTGTTTAATGTCTTCCACCCCCCTTAATAAGGGTACCCTATTCAGTGGACAACCCTATTAAGGGATACTTAATAAGGGTTCTACTATAATTTCATTTATCATATGCAAATATACAACAATGAGATATAGTCAACATATGGGAGTGTTCTCGGACTCTGGGATGCACTTTCCTACATTCTCAGGAGTTAATAACGATGGTAATTATGAGGATGATGATGACATAGGCGGAGGAATAGTTTTGCGAGTGACGGAAGGACTAATGACATCAAACTAAGCCCATCATAAATGAGACTAGCAAGGGTGAATATCTTTTTTGAAAGGTGTGGGGGGGGGGGCACTCATGAGTTCACACCCATCTGAGCACCACCATGGTGAGTTACGAAAATTCTACCTCTAGATGGCTGAAAATAACATTCTTATATATAGTAGAATCCCTCATCATTCCATCACCATTATAGATAGTCAAAATGAACCTTCAACAAATTCCTTAAGATTTTTTTTCAGAAAACTTTAATAACAATTGTTTCATGGCATAACATCATAATATAACTGCTGCAGAACGCTCTTCTTAAAGTCTGAGTCATTAATACAGTTCATTCTAACTTCAAAAGAGGATTAGAAAGTTGCTGTAGTCGGGGTGCAGGGTACAGGCTTTTGCAAAAAGAAAAAAAAAACAAAAAACGTGATGTTGTGGTCCAGTAGAGTAATTTGGAGGGGGTCAGTTTTTATAGATGCTCGGAAACGCGCTTTCCTGCCTGTGTTCATTGTGATGGGGTAGGCCTAATAGACATTCACATAAGTGAGGATTTTTAGATGAAATAATTTTAATTAATCTATTGGTTATGGTATCTAATTTTGTTGGGTTTCAATTATGAAAATTTGTTTTGTGAGAGCATTTTGAGATAGTTTCCTTCTTAGGACAAAATTATGCTAAATTAGCCAACATTATACATAGCACATTATGTTAGATGATAAAGGGGTCTAAATTATGCTAGATAGAATAATTATGTCAGGTCTGGTCACACTATGATCCACGTCTTCGTGGAGCCACTCTGCTGGTGTCCCTAGGCTAGTTAGTAGGCCCATATAAGGCAACCTTGTAAAAATCTGTGCATCTTTCAGAAGCAGCGATTCATCGTCGATTCACTTGTTTCATCATCGTCGATTCACTTGTTTATCATTAAAGATTCACTGCTTCACTGATTGACGATTCACTTGTTTCATCATCAACGATTCACTTGTTTCATCATCAACGATTCACTTGTTTAATCACCGACGATTCATTTGTTTCATCATCGACAATTTACTTGTTTCAACGATTTACTTTTTTCATTATCGACGATTAACTTGTTTTATCATCGACGATTTACTGAATCATCAGCAACGGTTCACTGGTTATCATCGAATTGTTGCTTGAACGACGTTCCATAGTATTGCACTAAATTTAATGACTTCTTACATTCTTGTTAATTTGGAAAGAAAGAAGCACCCGTTTCCCGATTGGAATTCACTCGGGTGTGCCATGTCATAAGGCCAAAAAAAAGAAAAAAATTAAAAATTCTTATGTTCGCCACGTTTTTAGAACGGCACTCCTAGACTCAAAATTTTGTCGGTAGAAAAAGTTTCTTAATTAAAAAAAAAAAATTGTATTTACCAATATTGTGTTCATGCCTAAAAAGTAGAAAATACACAAAAATACAACAAAGACCATTTTTAAATCTATATTGAAGAGCAAAACGATCGCATAAACACTGTCGTATCTCTACTGTCCAGCAAGATAGGCATATGCCACCCTTTTTAGCTCATTAATAATGTAATTTTGAAAGAAATTTTATTGTCAATGATACAACCAAGGTGAATGTCAATGCTTGACATAAAATGAACATATTGAGAAAGTATCTTGGCAATATACAATTTGAGAAACAATTAAGTCAAAGCAAGTCAGCATACATCTATAAAGGATTAATGATATATGTACAAATAAACAGTGATAAGGGTGAACAATGAATGAGCAAGTGGTGGACTGTGGGAAAGCATTACTATAGTTAAGGCATGGAGGAATTAATTCATATAACATATGTAGAATATAATATAACGTAACAGTAAAGAAACTCAAATATGTAAGATGTTGACTTTAGAAACACTAAAATTATATATATATACCATCAATATATATACATATATATATATATATATATTTATAATAAGCTTATATTCTATATATATATATATATATATATATATATATATATATATATATATATCCGAAACAAAATCGATTTGTGGCCATTGTGAACAAACACGGTTCACAGGAAATTCAGGTTCCAGTGCTTCCAGGCCTAAGCTAAAAAATACACAATATAAAACAAAGTTGCAGATTACATAATACAAGCAACATTATAAGTAGCAAAATTATAAGAATGAGTATATATTAAATTATCTCTTGAAAGCTTCATTATATAGTACTATAAAGTTGTTAATGAAAGTGTTGCTTGATCTAAATTACACTGAATGGTACGAAGCCTGCCTGATCTATTGTGAGAGTATGTGTTCTTCATTGGTGAGACGAGTCCTTAATATGCTTATTTAATTTCGTTTACACCAGAGATACAATGCGTGAAATATCTCCTGTAGTAACCTTCCTCTTTCCTAGTGGTCTCCTCGTGTCTGAGCTACCTGGTAAAATTGTGTCAGCTACTCTCTTACTCTCCAAAACAGGGGTTAAACAGTACACCGGGGTAGCCCCCTACTTGTCTTGAAAGAAGTCATTGGTTCTTTATAGTGCACATGAGCAAATTTTGATATTGGGCCTACGATATTCAGATTCAGATGCACTTGTCCTTGCGGAAACTTACTTTGGGCAACAATTAATTACAATGTACATAGCAATAAAAACATAAATATACTACACTTTAATACACAAGCATGCTAAGACAAGACATGGTGAGTACAGAATGTTAAGTTTAGAAGTTATTATTATATATATCCATTGTTCCTGTAAGTATCTAGTCAGTATCCGAGCCTGGTTTCCGTACAATCGCTACACGCTATCACCGACAGTTGCCAACGACGTTGATTGGTTCGTCGAATCGGAAAGTTCCCAATTGTGTGGGGAAAAGCTACGAAGTGCAACATTTGCAGTGAGTTCATGGAAACAACTTTACATACCATAACCATAACATAACCGGAACCGTTAGGGGAGCGTGCCGGTTTAAAACAACCTTCTTCTCCCCTAAGTGTCTCCTCGTCCCTAAGCTACCCGGTAAATCGGTGTCAGCTACTCTCTCCACAACAGGGGTTGTACCGGTATGTACCAGTACACCGAGGTAGCTCCCTACTTGTCTCGAAAGAAATCATGGGTTCTTTATAGTGCACATGAGAGAATTATGTACTCTGGGCCAATAGTATCTACTATAGTCCGTATCCCAGAAGACTTTTTCCATAATTTCAATTTCAATGTCAAGTTCAATTTATTCAAAAATAACCTCCAAACAAGGAGAAGCATACATAAAAACACGTTTAAACATTGAAAATAACACCCGATTGGCTGGATCAACGCGCTGACAGTTTCATCTACTGTGTACACGTCACTAATAGGTTAGATCATTCGATAACAACTTTAAGTTGTAAGGCACGTAATGATGTAGGCAGATATTTTGATCGTGCAAAATTTAAACCTGATTCACTTTGAGGGAAATAGTAAGAGATTTCCTTTTTGTTTTCCAATACTTTATGAATCTTTAAATGTGCAACGTGTTGTTGTAGGCCAATGTTTAATTCTATTAAGCATGAAGTCAAAGAAGCATGAGTGTGAGTTCATTGCTTGGTAAATTATGTATACAGTAAATATAATAATAATAATAATAATAATAATAATAATAATAATAACAGTAATAATAACAGTAATAATAATAATAAATAATAATAATTATCAGGCTAACAATAGCAATAATTTTGATTATTATTAGTATTATTTTATTATTATTTATATATCATGTCGGTATTATTACCACTGTTGCTAAATTTATAATACAAAACATGAACTATTTGACTAATTGTGATTTACAAAAGTGTTTATAAGCAAACTTCTGTTATTCTATTTTTATGTTTATATTTTTAAATTTAACTTATATTTTAATGTTAACGGGGATACACTTAATAATTATTAAAAAATAGGCCTATTATTACAACACTTGTTACTATTTACACCAATAATAACATTACAATTGTTAGAAAATTATATTACAACACGTGTTTCTATTCACACCAACTACTAACTAACTAAATCCTTTCCGAGCCACTAGGGCTCATGGGCTGGAGCTTATCCCCAGTTTATTCACACCAACATTAACATTAAATTTAAAGAATTACGGATTTGTTTATTTTTAAAAAAATGTTTGTATGCCGGGCCATATATTAGGTAAATGTATTCTTATTTACATATAGGAAGAATGTATTTCTTGTCGAAAAAATTATTTAAAAAAAATGGATAAAACAATTTTAATTAAAAATTTAACGTTGTTCACATTAAAATTCTATGTGAATATCTTTCCTGTAATACAAGTTATGTATTCATTGCACACTGTTGAGTGTAATGGAACCTATTTAGAATTAGCTTACATATTGGTTTATCTTCCTAATAAGATACAATTTTCTTAAAGTGGATCTAAGGGTTTTGCATCATCAACTGCAAGGGTTCCTCAGATATGGAAAAAAGGTAAGAGACGAAGCTACTCGATTTCTCTACCATGAACTCGTAAATATGATGGAAAAACGTCCTAATCAGCATAAGTGTACTCTTGTAGAAACGTCAGTAAAGCCGGGAAAACAACGAATACGCGGAGGAGGAGGAGCTGTAATCATATATGGTTCGATCGTCATCACGACCAGCAGTTACCAAACATACACACAACAGAGGCAGATAGACTCAAGAACTGATTCTGTAGACACGGCTATTGTTTGACTTCAAATATATTCATTGAAGTAAGTTGTATGTTAATATTTTAAACCATATTTTGTATTTTAAAAAACAATATTTATCAATGTTTGTACAAAATTTTGTTAATAATTATTTGCCAAGGTTTATAAAGAAAAATTCATTTTTGTGTACATTTCACTATATTATAGGCCTGTTCAATGAAGATAAGTTGTTGTGATATTTGGATTTAGAAATATTGTTGCATTATATAATTTTGTTATATTGTTTGATGGTTCCCATGGTTTTTTTTTTGCCATGGTTAATTGTTTACTATATTCACACATTAAGTGATATTTTATGTTACATAGTGTTGCATTTTTCATTTTCTATTTTCTATTGTGTTTTACTATTGTAACTAGTGGACAACCACTTTCTATTTTCTAATTCCGTTTTCATCGAGAAATTAATTTTTTGGAGAACATTGTATCGCGTAAATACGAGGCAGCAGGCGCGGATCCAGACCTTAGCACCGTTCGCCATTGCGAAGGTCAGGATGAGAGATAATTTAAATAAAAAATATGAAAGTGATTGCAAATTAATGAATAACAATGTTATTTAAAAGGGACTGTAATTAATCGGATATAAACCTGCTGCGAGCTTTCGTCGAAGTTATCAACATGACGGAGCTATTTCTTTTAAATACAAGTAATACTTTAATTCGTTTTTTGTTGACTCAATATGTCAAATAAAAACAATCTAAAAGGTAATTTAAGTTCAATTTCCGCCATCCAGAGGTACAAAATACTGAAAATTGTTGCACCTCAGCGCTAACCCATGGTGACACGCGTTAACGAGGTCCGGACACTCTTTCAGAACCCTCTTCCTTAAATTCTGGATATACCCCACCCCTGTGATACCTGCATTGATTGTAAAATGCTCCTGACCGATTACAAAGTATTTAAAAATAGTAACTTAAAGTTTCAGATGTAGGTGTTAGATAAAAAAACAGCTCTAGGTCTATTTATGTCCGCTTTTTTCTTCCTCCGCTAGGCCGTCGAGGTGTTTGTTTTGATTTCGCGCTTGGATGAATTTTGTCGGTCACCAATGACGTCATTGAGTGACCTCGTTGTTTCTAAGGTCTTACAAAAATGACACTTCAAACTCATTTTTTTAGTACAAAATCAATTTTATTTGTAATTTATGACCAACACTTGTGTTTATAATATATTTATAAATATAAACACGCTGTAGTTTATAGAAATTGTCAGAATAGGTGGCAGAGGCACTTTAACATTTACTTACAAACATGACATAATATTGTATTAGATTACCTAATTGAACAATGATTATATCCATATGCTGATACTAAACTGAACATATCCATTATTCAAAGCTATTACTGCATGGAAAGTCAATCTCAAATTGTTGAAATCTTTTAAATTAAAATGTATTACTTCGCTCAGTCTTGAAATATGCGTGATATTTCATTCTCTTAAAAAAGTGGCATTCGTTGTGTTTGTTAATTCAAGCAGATGTTTGAATGAATTCGTTGATAAAGCAGACAGCTGTTTGCTGTTTTTTTTTAAATAATTTGTTTAGAATTTATTATAACATCATCACAATTTCCTAATAGTTTTTAATTAAAAATATTACTTCTCACAGCACTTTTTGGACTGTGCCTTTTATTTCATTATCTTAATAAGTGCATTACATGGCGTTTACATAGCCTGAAATTTCAAGTGCTATGATAATCGTTTGCTATAGCATATTTTACCCTATTTCAAACCAGATGTTGGTTTGTTTTCCATTTGACAAAACAACCACAAATTAAACACTCTTCGCTCATGACACCGCTCTATACTTGTCAACATTGTAAGATGGTTAGTATGAACATAAAGAAATAGTGTTCTATTTCCTCTATGGTATGAAGCTCTGAATCCGCCCCTGGTACCATAGCTGTGCGATAGTCGGGATGAACTCTAGATCTGCGCCTGGGCCGCGAAATACTTTAATTAAAGGCCTCGAAAAGGGGTTCTAAAGTAGGTATAGTGTACTAAATTTTGTTTTCCTGCATATAGGCTACACATACTCCTACACTCACACACGCATCATCATCCTCATCTTAGTCGTCGTCATAATAATAATAATAATCATCATTATAATACAGCTATTTGGAATCTTTACAGCCCTTTTGATTTTTACTTCGGTTAGTGATATTCGCCCTTAATATATATTTGTTTTATTATTATGAATATCATTATTACTATTTATTATTATTATTATTATTATTATTATTATTATCAATATTATTATTAGGCTATTATTATTATTATTATTATTATTATTATTATTATTATTATTATTATTATTATCATGCATACATTTATTAGTTATAGGCATATCAGCATGATCACAGATCCTATAGGATCTGTGCCATTATGATCTAAGATGTTTTTCAAGCATAATTCATTGACTTGTGTCTTCGGGCAGCCTCTAAAGATGGTGTCATCGTCACGGAAGTTCATGGGAGTATTTTGTAGAAAACTGTCTGATAATTCTACAATATTTGAAAACTTGTGCAAATGGTATTTAAATCCTACTACAGCGGGTTAGGATTAATGTAAAGTTTGCATAGTCTACTTAACTAACGCACTTCAGATCCGAGCATTAGTTATCGCCAGTTGGTTCTATATACACGGCACTGCTTACTATTGGTTCGCATTACATAACCAGATGCGTATATGAATATTATTATTCTTCAATTTAGATTTGTGATTTAACTGGTGGATTTCAATTATATTGATTTTCCCTTCGTAAGAATGTTATTAGTAGATAATAATAGACAGCAGTTAAGTGAATAACTGGATTTACAATATTCCTTATACGAGAATTATGTGCTCGGGCAGTGTTGTTAATGTGCATAAGATTTGTGGTTAATCATCATGTGAGATTAGTATAGAATGCTCCATATTTTTCCTTCCCAATCCATACGTGATCATAATTTTCCTTCTTTCTCTCTCCTCTGTTAATCTGTTTTATATTAATCATTTCAAAAATATGTTGTGAATTCACTCTTTATTATTGCCTATGTATGTGCGAATACGGTACTTTTTCGAGTTAAAAGCTATGTTTGTAGGCATAAGTATACCCACATGTAACCACATTAAGTAAACATTACAATAATTTTAATTGTAATTATTAATAATATAATTAATATGATAAATTCACTTATTATTTTTATCATATTTGTTTGTTATTGCATTTTGCAATAAAAGGATTATGTTTATCTATAACTTGAAGCATTACTATATGATAAATTTTCAACCTACTGTGTTCAAACAAGAGTTAGTAGCCTGCTGTATGTTGAAATTTACATACCTCTCAGATTTAAATTTCTATCTGCCAAACTTCGCCTGTAAATATTGGTACTAAATGTTGTTACTTGTTCAAATATCTCGTATTACTGAATTATGAAATTTAAACTGTACGTCGAACGCCCACTTAGCAGTACCGGCAACGCCATCTATTTCTGCCATTTTTCAACAATAATTAACTCATTCTCATTAACTTATTCTGAGCCTTAATTGTCTGTTTGCGGCATAATTGAAACGCTTTGATGATCTCCGACTGAGAAGAAACACGTCATAAATTTTGTCTCGTTCAGTCTAGGTCATAGGGTATCATAAGTATTCACATGGTTATTTTTGATCGGATCTTCATAATAAATTGTCTTTCTTATATTTTATTATCTTTCCATTTATAACGCTGTTGAATTGTAAATGAAACACTTCAGTACTGCAATATATTAATCAGGAGATTTAGCTGTATGGTAATTATTGGTTACATGAGTAGGTCCGATAGTATGCCTTGATCCCAGCAGATATGAACTACGTCAGAGATAGATATTAGGTCTAATTCTTCCTTCCATCATACCTGAGACTATATTAGATCAGAGATGTTGATTTTTTTTTTTTATTACGATAGTAAACGCCTTGACACGACTTTCTGGGAACGGGTTACTTGTTCCTAGTTGTTTTCCCCGGCTATTTTTCCAGGTATTACTTTTTTCTGGATTTTCTCCAGGAATTTTTTCCCGAATTTCCACGTGTTTTAAATAAAAAAGACACACCGATATTTACCGTACATTTCTACTTTATTATATTGATATAATATGTACAATATTATTTGTTGTAGAAAAATATATATTGTGAAACAATATGATTGGTATTAACACTTGGCAATGGACCTTTCCGCTAAGACCCGCCCCTTTGATATTGTTGCCTTGTTGCTAAGGTCCTACAAGACGACAGTGTTAAAACATACGCGAACACGTGCGTTGTGGGACAACACGTGTGTTTGTGAGACGCGTGTGTATCCCTAGCGCTGATTAGTTAGTTGATGAGTTTGATCGAAACTCCGGAAAGGTCTATTGTAAAAACCTAAATTAATGTGTGTTTACAATTTATGTGCACAGTAGACACAGTTTGCCTACTTACCTGTACGTTTGCAACAGTGTAGTACAAAAAAAAAAGCATCAGTATTAAATAAGATTTAATAAATATAAAAGGAAAAAAGGTAAACCTTGTTTGTGCTTTAAGGGGATTGACATTAAAATTAGAGATTAACATACAATCAAAAAGATGTAGACTACCATGCATTTTTTTATTTCTTGCTTTCAATCTTTCATATATTATTTTGTTATCACATTTACCTCATAGCTCCAACAGCTTTGTAATAGCTGTCCAATAGCTAGGCCTATGCAATAGCTATCGCAGCTCAAATTTTTTCGAACAACATACCAATCTCCATCAGAGAGTGTGTTACTTTAAACTCTTTTAAAACCAAGTTAAAAGACCTTTTTTCCATCAAGTTTTTCATTAATTTACCATGTCATCCTTATTCTATTTTTGTAAGCACAGTGCATTGAGAGCTTGCTCACTTGCGCTATATAAGATTGAATTATTATTATTATTATTATTATTATTATTATTATTATTATTATAGCATTTGGTGTTACTACATACATTCTTTTTTCATAAGAACCAGTGAATTTTCTTTTTTACTA